AGTTCTGTTAGCAACCACTATTTTTGTGCACCCTTTTGCGGCCAAGTGTTTGATCTTGAGTTTCCCCATCTTGGCAGCTCCAACAATCGACATTCTAGCAGTAGCATGAGAATATTCTGGAAGTTTCATTAAAGCAAGCTCCACAGCAGCTGAACTGATTGTGGACATCCTAGTTTCCGTTCTAACACGTTTTCCAACTGTGATTGCATGCTTAAATAGCCCACTGATTTTCCATCAAAGCCAGGGTTGCCCGGACAAGTTTTAACAACTTGTTTTACCTAAGAAAGAATCTGACATTCTCCTACAACAAGGGAATTGAGCCCAACAGATACATCAAACAAACGTTGTATTGAGTCTTTGTTATACAGCAAAAACTGGTGTCAGCAAATGTCTGAAGCTGGCACTGCAATTATCTACCATAAACAGATATACCAAAAGAAAAAAACTTTGCGCCTTGTTTAGGGAACTCCATGGGTTTAAAAAAAAGGAGCATGCTGGTGCCTTAGACGATTCATTCGGTCACTTTAACCCCTCGAAGTCGAGATAGAGCCACAACATATATTTCCATTCTGTTGCAAGTACTAAGAACATGAGCTTCTTCTATATGATTTAAAGCACATAATTCACAATGCGATGTAGTCATAGAATTTTAGTGGACAAAGTATAAGTTACTTAAAAACATGATATTCCAAGTTTCATTGGATTGCCTTATTCTTCCAACTGTTTTAAATGTTGCTTTTGTTGAGATGAGACTCCACAGGATGCAGATAGCTTAAATAATTTATGATCATTTAGGTATGTTGGCGCCTTTGCAACGTTGGATTGGATGGTACGAGACAACATTAAGGTACAATAGCAAGTTAAAATCTTGTTTGTTATCCCATGCAATATTGTCCAGGTTGTGTACCAAGCATGCCATGATTATGCTTTAAAAACCTGCCACAGCTATATTTTTTTCCTTCTCAATAAATAAAAGCTTTTGAAAGTTGAAACGTGAATTTTGAAAATACATTTTTCTGTTAAAGAGCTTCAAGTTTCATATTTGCGTGTCTATGTTTCATGGGTTACCTTTCTTCTTAACACAGAAAAGGACACCGCGTGGTAGCAGTTTGCTCCGTTAGGCTACCTTCCATATTTTCTCGGTCGTTTCGGGACGACAGAAAATTTGATTTCAATTTGTAGAAAGCTCGCAACGTGAAATTGAAATGCATTGAAAGTAAATTAATCATTGATTGTTTGAAAGCTAGAAATTACAATTGGTGAAAGCAGAAAATTAAAACTCAAACTTGAATTAATATTTACAATGTGCGGTCAGAGTTGGGTAAGCTGCGGCTGCGATTGGGTCAAAAGGCATAAACAGAGCTGTTGTCCTTGACATTCTCCCCCATTTATTTTGGCGACATTCTTGGAGCCATCGATGAATGATATGTTTCAATTAATGGTTTGAAAGCTCTAATGTCTTTTTTACTTTCCCAAGTATTCTCTTCGTTGCTGCATCCGCACCATTTGATCAAGTATTCTTGATGATATTTCCTGAAAACTCGAGTAGTTCGATGGTCAAGAATCTCTTCAGCAACCTTCTTTCTATCTCTTTTCAGTTCAAACACAGGTCGCTTTGACTTATTTCTGAATGCGTCCTCCTTGTCGGCAAATTATGGTTTGAGTATATCAACATGAAGGATTTTGTAGATTTTGCACCATAAAGGGAGTGCAACTTTGTATGCAACTCTTCAAATCCTCTTCATGATGAGTAATGGTATAATATATTTTAGCACCAATCTTGAATCTTTTCCTCTTATCGGTTTATAACAGTTTTCGTCGGGGAGTTTTATCTTTACCAGATCTCCAATATTAAATTCAAGAAAACGGCGTTTTAGATCTACAAACTTTTTGTACCGTTTTTTAACTTTCTCAAGATAACATTGAGCAATTTCAATGTTTCGTTTCCACGCTTGAGATAAGCTTTTTGCTTGAGAGGACTTAGTACTTTGATCGATATCCACAGTTTGAGGGAGTAACGGTTGCTGGTCAGTAACAATCTCAAAAGGACCTTTATTGGTGGAAGAGCTCTTTTGGACATTAAACATATCTGACCTGCATCAAAAATTTTCACCCAATTCTTCTGCGAAGTAGAGATAAAGTGTTGAAGCTATTCTTCCAGCATGGAATTGAAGCATTTTGTCTGTCCGTCAGATTTTGGGTNTTCGTCATCTGTTCGTCAAATTGTGGGTGAAAACTAGAACTATGCTCAAATTTGAACTAAGAAGTTTGAACAACTCGGTCCAAAATATGCCAGTAAATCGAGGATCCCTATCACTGACGATGTCTTTAGGCGGTCCTTAATATTTAACAATATGTTTGAAGAAGAGTTGAACCGTCTCTTCGGCTGATATATACTTGGGCGCTCTGATGAAAGTTGCGTACTTTGATAGACGGTCTACCACAATGAATATAGTGTCAAAATCTCCAACTTTTGGCAATCCAATAATGTAGTCCATCGAAACACTCTCGAATGGTCTCATTGGGACGAAAAGGGGCTCCGGCAAGCTTGCATTTTTCTGATGATCCACCTTATCTTGCTGACAAACAAGACAAGTTTTCACATAAGTTGCAATGTCATCCCACATTTAAGGCCATTAGTATGCACGTTGTAATAGTGTAGAAGTGTGTTTCTCTCCGGAATGCCCTGCCCAAATTCTGTCATGGCATTCTGTGATTAATGATTTCCTAAAATCTCCACCCTTCGCGACATATAAGCAGTTTCCTTTAGTCCTCACTAGACCTACATGGAGCTAGAACTGTCGAGTTTTTCCCTACTTGATGAGGTCGACTAGATATTGAGTGGCCGGGTCTTCATCCAAAAGCGCCCGAATTTGATCCCTTGTGTTTATGGCAACTGTGTTCCCTGAAAGAGCAGCAATAGACCAAATGGTGGCCAAGTCAACCCGACGAATAAGAACAACGACAACATGATTATTAGATCCAGGACGGTACTTTAGCATGAAATTGAAATCTGAAAGAAGTTCCTGCCTACGAGCCTGTTTACTTGACAGTTTCGGTTCGGACATGAAATAACTCACCGAAGTGTTATCTGTCTTTTCAATAAATGGAGACCTAAGCAAATAGTGACGCCATCCCCTAAGACAATGGACTACCACCAACTACTCCTTTTCTTGAGCCGAGTAACGACATTTTGCTTGATTCAGCTTTCGGCTCTTATAAGCTACCGGATCTCCTTCTTGTATAAGGACTCCACCAAGTACAAAGTCTAAAGCATCTGTATGTACTTCGAATGGTTTAGCCATATTCAACAAGGCTAACACCGGGTTTGTCCACATAGATTTCTTCAAC